TTTTCTTTGTCCATTCATCTGCTGATGGACACTTACGTTGCTTCCCGATCTTGGCTATTGTAAACGGTGCTGCAGCAAATGTGGGATGCAGAGCTATAGGACTTCCTTTCTTTTGGGTATATATCCGGCAGCGGGACTGCTGGATCATATGGTAGCTCTATTTTTCATTTTTTGAGGAATCACCAAACGGTTCTCCATAGTGGCTGTAACAATTTACATTCCCACCAACGGCATATGAGGGTGCCTTTTTCTCCACATCCTTGCGAGCATTTGTTACTGTCTGACTTTTGGACATACACCATTTTAACTGGGGTGAGAGGATATCTCACTGTAGTTTTGATCTGCATTTCTCTGCTGATCAATGACACTGAGCACCTTTTCAGAAGCCTGTCTGTCATCTGTATGTCTTCTTTTGAGAAATGTCTATTGTCTATTCAAACCTTTTGCCTTTTTTTTTTTTTTTTTTTTTTTTTTTTGAGACAGTTTCACTCTTGTTGCCTAGGCTGGAGTGCAGTAGCGATCTCGGCTCTCTGCAACCTCTGCCTTCCCAGGTTCAAGCGATTCTCCTGCCTCAGCCTCTTTAGTAGCTGGGATTACAGGCACCTGCCACCATGCCCAGCTAATTTTTTCTATTTTTAGTAGAGACGGGGTTTCATCATGTTGGCCAGGCTGGTCTTGAACTCCTGACCTGAGGTGATCTGCCTGCCTTAGCTTCCCAAAGTGCTGGAATTATAGGCATGAGCTACCACGCCTGGCCTCTTTTGTCCATTTTTTAATCCGACTATTAGACTTTTTCCTATAGAGTTGTTTGAGCTCGTTTTTAATTCTGATTGTTAACCCCTTGTTAGATGGGTAGTGTGCAAATATTTCCTCCCATTCTGTAGGCTGTCTCTTCACCTTCTTGATTGGTTCCTTTGCTATAGAAGCTTTTTAATCTGATGTGATCCCATTTGTTCATTTTTGCTTTGGTTGTGGATTGTTACTCAAGACATTTTTGCCCAGAACAATGTCCTTGAGATACTTCCCAGTGCTTTCCTGCAGTTGTTTCATAATTTGCAGAATTACCACAAACTTAGTGACTTAAAACAACACAAATTTGTCTCACGATTATGGAGGTCAAGAGTTCATCTGCTGATGGGTCAACAGGGCTGCATTCTTTCTGGAGGCTCTAGGAGAGAACTTATTTTGCTTTTTCCTGTTTCTAGAGGTTGTCTACATTCCTCGGCTCATGGCCTTGCAGCACTCAAGACTTCTGACACAGTTGTCACATCTTTTGTTTCTGACACACCTGACTCCCTTCAGTAAGGACCCTTGTGGTTTCACTGGGCCCACCCAGATTATCCAGAATCATCTCTCCCTAGGTCCTTAACTTAATCACATCAGAAAAGTCCTTTCTGCCATGTCACGTAATGCAGTCACGGGTTGTGAGGACTGCAATCTGGATATCTTTGAGGGACCATCATTCTCTTAACATATAAAATTAATATAATGCAATACTGCACAGTGACTTAACATTGCCAAGATTTCAATGCTCTCCAAAACATTACATAAATTTAAGGTGATACTAATCAAAATCCTAAAAGAATCCTTTTTCTTTTTTTTTTTTTTTTTTTTGAGATGTAGTCTCACTGTCGCCCAGGCTGGAGTGCAGTGGTGCAATCTTAGCTCACTGCAACCTCTGCCTCCTGGGTTCAAGTGATTCTCCTGCCTTAGCCTCCCGAGTGGCTGGGATTACAGGCACCCACCACTACCACCAGCTAATTTTTGTATTTTTAGTAGAGACAGGGTTTTACCATGTTGGACAGGCTGGTCTTGAACTCCTAAGCTCGTGATTCACCTGCCTCAACCTTCCAAAGTGCTGGGATTACAGGTGTGAGCCACCATGCCTGCCCCTTAAAACGATTTTTTAAGCAAGTTGCCAGACTTACTTTTAAATGCTTATGGAAAAATAAAGGTCTATACATAGTTAAATCAACTCTGAAAGAGAAGGCCAAAGGCAGGCGATGAGAGGGGATTTTCCCATGCAATATTTTGATATGCTACGAACCTTTGCAATAAACACGGGTGTGACAACAGGCAACTAGACCATGTGTCAAAATAGAGAGCTAGGGTGATTGGAGGGGATACAGAATTAGTGGCACCTCAAATCAGTGGAGAAATAACGGTCAGGCGCAGTGGCTCACGCCTGCAACCCCAGCACTTTGGGAGGCCCAGGCAGGCGGATCACCTGAGGTCAGTAGTTCTAGATCAGCCTGACCAATATGGAGAAACCCCGTCTCTACTAAAAGTACAAAATTAGCCGGGTGTGGTGGCTCATGCCTGTAATCCCAGCCACTCGGGAGGCTGAGGCTAGAGAATTGCTTGAACCCAGGGGATGGAGGTTGCGGTAAGCCAAGATTACGCCATTGCACTCTAGCCTGAGCAAGAAGAGCGAAACTCCGTCTTAAAAAAAAAAAAAAAAAAAAAAAAAAAAAAAATCTGTTTATAGGTGGTGTAGAGAAGAGTAGCTCTCCACATATAAGCCAGGATGCCTATCTTACACCACACAGAGTAGTCTCTTATCTGTAGGCAATAATGTCCGAGACCTCCAGCATTCAAACTTCTGAAAGGCGAGCTTGAGATGTGACGGGAATCTTGCACATCAGCATCCTGCAGGCCTCCAGAGTGCCCATGGGCTGGGGAGAGTGCCCGCTGCATTACACTGACCAGCTCTTTCCCTACCGCACAGCTCTCTCTGTCTGCTTCTAAGGGCAGGAACCATAGCCCATTGATTTCCGCAACACCCTCAATGAGAACACATGGCAGAGAAGTGATCCAAATGTTTGTCGAGACCTGATGAAGGAAGCTGGTGACAGGTGACTGCATCGTTATAGTGGGAAGGTCCGTGGTTTCAGGAAAACAAGCCGCCCTCACTACCTGGCAGCTTGCCAGAGCCAAAGATCTGGATGGGACCACCCCACATATCAGGGAAGAGCCAGATGTGCTCCCAGCCATGGAAAATGCCCTCAAATTTCTCTGCAAAGAAGAACATCTGACCCGAGAATTGACTGTGCCCACTGGTTAGCCCTTACATTTATTAGATTCCCTTTATCTTTATCTCTGACTAAAATAGCCTATGCCATTGCTGTCTCTCTGTGAAACCACGGTTTTAATTATTTTAAAAAATAATTTAAAAATACTTTTAAGGCCGGGCTCGGTGGCTCAAGCCTGTAATCCCAGCACTTTGGGAGGCCGAGGCGGGTGGATCACGAGGTCAAGAGATCGAGACCATCCTGGTCAACATGGTGAAACCCCGTCTCTACTAAAACTACAAAAAAATTAGCTGGGCATGGTGGCGCGTGCCTGTAATCCCAGCTACTCAGGAGGCTGAGGCAGGAGAATTGCCTGAACCCAGGAGGCGGAGGTTGCGGTGAGCCGAGATCGCGCCATTGCACTCCAGACTGGGTAACGAGAGTGAAACTCCGTCTCAAAAAAAAAAAAAAAAAAAAAAACTTTTAAAACAATGAGTCAGTGTTCTCTTTCCCATATCAAGCAGGAAGAATTTTATTAGTTCCTGTTACTACTTCCATTTAAAAAGATATTATACGTATCAACTAGATTTACTAGTAATTGATAGCTGGCTTATTCTGGATGAAAACCAAATGAGCCAAAACCCCTCAGATGTAAAGAACATTTGGGGAACAATTAAGGAATAGTGATAATACTATATCTGTATTATTGATGTTACATTTCTTAGCTGTAATAATGGGGTTATGTGCTAAAGCCTGCATTCTTCTCTCAGATAGTCCAGCAAAAACATGCATATGCATGTAAATTAGGTATTACACACATAGAAGGAGAGGGAGACAGGGCACACAAATGTTAACTGGAAGCTCTTCAGTGTAATATTCTTTCAACCTTTCTGTAGGTTAAAAACACTACTTTTAAGTTTAAGAGACAAGGGCATACTAGTTTATACCTCAGCAATTAAAAATAAACACCTAGAAATACAAGTATATCATACCTAATTATGAAATCAAACCAAACAGATCATCTATGGCATGGGCCCCAAAATATTTATAGGTCAAATCCCAGCTGGGTGACAGAATATGTCAAGGAGCTGGGTGTGTGGTACCTGGTGTCCCTGGGATCCGTGCAGCACAGGGCCCCGTGAGGGCAGGCATTTCTGAGTGTAAACGCTCAGTCCCCAGTGCCTGGTTGTTCATTACAAAATTGCAATAGAGTAAGACTGGAGAGAACTAAACTGCCCAGCTTTAGGGGATAACTAAGTAACCATGGTATATTCATCTAAAATATGACATGACCTTTATTTGTTGAATGAGGATACGGAGGTTTTTAGCCTGCTCTCTGTAATATTTTGCCGTAATACTCCTCCAGATAGGAGAAGAGAGGCCACCCAAACCACAGAAGTGGCTTCTCTACTGCCCACTAGACTGTCTGATCTGGGGCTCCTTAGCCCCACAGGGGGCCTAGTCCCCCAGGGAGATCGGAGGCTCTGCATAACCAGATGAAACATTCATTTACCTAAATGGAGTACGAGCAAGGCTACGGACGAGGAATAAGGCTTGGCAGCTAAAACTGCATCCAGTTGTCCCAAAAAGTCATCTACAATCAATCAATTTCGAGTCTTAAACTATGACATTCCAATACCAACGAAGGGCTTGGTGCTAGGACGAGAAGCCCAGAAAAGGCGTGACAGGAGGCCTTCTGGAGAGGGCCCGGCTCCTCTCAGGCCTCTTCTTTTGAAATTACTCTGGCCAACATTTGTCTTCTGAAAATCCTGTAATCCAACCACTTCTCTTTCTGGAACAAAAAAATCCTGGGGGAAGGGAGAAGGACTCGACCTCTTTCCCTCCAAAAATCCCCCAAAAATAAAGACATAAATGCTTTTCGGTATGAATGCTTTATTTTGAATTTTAAAAATACATACATCTTACACTGCAGTTAATCAGAACAAAGCTTAAGAAAGTCAATTCCCGCTTCCTTTAGCCATGACTTACACTGGGTACCCGTTTCTGTGGCCACTGGGGGTGACGGGCCTTCGCAGGGGCTCATCCCCGCTCCGCTGCACACCGGCCGGCCCCTTCCGCCTCGTCTTCCCTGTGTTGGTCATGATCTGGTGGAAGGTAAGAGAAAACAGGGCTGGAGAAATCCTCTACTAGAGAAGCAAACAGAATATGCTGAATAAACTATTGTACAATTATGAGAAGCTTTGCAAATAAATAAGGAGGGATCATGTCACAAATTATTCAGGTAAACAGAAACTGAAGTGAGAAACCGTTTTTTTGCTAACGAGTTTGCCCTATCACATCACTTAGCAGTACAAATTAAAACAAAGTCACACTGCAGGAAAAGGAGAAAGCAGTGACTACTGTAATCCATCATATCTCTGGAAAGGACTGGATTTGTAAAAATAAGAAAGGAAAACAAGAGGGACATTTGATTTCATAAAAAAACAAACATTTTCACATGCACAGTATGTTAAGAAATAAACCAAATCAACAGGCAAACAACAAACTGGGAAGAAGTATTTGAGGCAAATTTAAGATTAAAGATTAACATTTTTTTTTTTTTTTTTTGAGATGGAGTTTTGCTCTTGTCACCCAGGCTGGAGTGCAATGGCGTGATCTCAGCTCACCGCAACTTCTGCCTCCCAGGTTCAAGCGATTCTCCTGCCTCAGCCTCCCAAGTAGCTGGGATTACAGGCATACACCACCACGCTCGGCTAATTTTTTTTCTTTTCTTTTTTTTTTTTGTGTGTGTGTATTTTTAGTACAGATGGGGTTTCACCATATTGACCAGGCTGGTCTTGAACTCCTTATCTCATGATTCACCCGCTTGGGCTTCCCTAAGTGCTGGGATTACAGGCATGAGCCACTGCGCTCAGCCAAAGATAAACATTTTCATAGCTAAGGAGCTCCTGCAAATCAGTAAGTAAAACAGTAAACTGATAATTGAGCAAAGAATTCAAACAACCATATCATAAAATAGAAATTATCACTAGTAAGTAAAAGAAAAAAAAGATCCCTTTGCTAGAAATTAGAAACTACAACTTGACAAAAAAAAATCATTCTTAAACTATTATAAGAATGACAGAAAAATGATCCCATCCACTGCTGCCAATAGTTTAAAGCATTAGTTACAACTAATTAACAGTCATTAGTGAGACTGAACTTTGAAACGACGCTTGGAAAGCCATTTGGCATTTTATCAAGAGTTATAAAAATGTCACACATCTTTGGGTATAAATACTAGTGAATGGATCCAAAACATGGAAAGCGTAAAGTAATCAAGGTTGTTCATTATGAAATTATTATAGAATAAAACTAGAATGATCTAATGTCTAGTAACAGAGAAATAAATAAGTAAAATAATAAAGAACAGGTTATGGGCTGGGTGCAGTGGCTCATGCCTGCAATCCCAGCACTTTGGGAGGCCGAGGCCGGTGGATCATGAGGTCAGGAGTTCAAGACTAGCCTGGCCAACATGGTGAAACCCCTTGTCTACTAAAAATACAAAAATTAGCTGGGCATGGTGGTGAGTGCCTATAATCCCAGCTACTCGGGAGGCTGAGGCAGGAGAATCGCTTGAACCCGGAAGGAGGAGGTAGCAGCGAGCCGAGATCACGCCACTGCACTCCAGCCTGGGCAACAGAGCAAGACTCCGTCTCAAAATCAAAAAGAACAGGTTATGGAGAAATATGTTGATTTAAAACGTTAAATAAAAATCAGGTTATAGCCGGGCACAGTGGCTCATGCCTGTAATCCCAGCACTTTGGGAGGCTGAGGCGGGTGGATCACGAGGTCAAGAGATCGAGACCATCTGGTCAACATGGTAAAACCCTGTCTCTACTAAAAATATAAAAAATTAGCTGGGCATGGTGGCACATGCCTGTAATCCCAGCTACTCAGGAGGCTGAGGCAGGAGAATTGCCTGAACCCAGGAGGCGGAGGTTGCGGTGAGCCGAGATCACGCCATTGCACTCCAGCCTGGGTAACAAGAACGAAACTCCGTCTCAAAAAAAAAAAAAAAAATCAGGTTATAATAATGTACATAAAGAATGTTTTTTTTTCCCTTGAGACAAGGTCTTGCTAGGTTGCCCAGGCTGAAGGCTGAATCTTTCTGCCTTAGCCTCCCCAGCAGATGGGACTAGAAGTACATACCAGTGTGTCCAGCTAAACGATGGTTTCAATTATGCTACAAGTGCACAAAAATACTGGAAGGAAATGAACAGGATTAAGACTTAACACAATTAGAGTGGGTATATAGGACAGTAGAACTAAGAATTTTTTTCTGCCAATTTTTTTTGTAATATGTTAAGTGTTAATATACAATTATGTTAACACTTAAGAAAAATTGTGCCAGGTGCAGTGGCTCACGCCTGTAATCCTAGCACTTTGGGAGGCCAAGGTGGGCGGATCACCTAAGGTCGGGAGTTCAAGACCAGCCTGGCCAACATGGGGAAACCTCATCTCTACTAAAAATATAAAAATTAGCTGGGCGTGGTGGCGCATGCCTGTAATCCCAGCTACTTGGGAGGCTGAGGTAAGAGAATCGCTTGAACCTGGGAGGCGGAGGTTGTGGGTAAGCCGATATTGCGCCATTGTACTCTAGCCTGGGCAACAAGGGTGAAACTCTGTCTCAAAAAAAAAAAAAAAAAGAAAAAGAAAAGGAAAAATTACTTAAAAAGGATATCACTGTAAAATTAGTGGAATGTGAATAAAGTCTATGGATGGTACCAATGTCAACTTTGCTATTAGGCTGTAAGTTACATAAGATATTAGCACCGGGGAAATTATGTGAAGGGCACATGGGAACTGTCTGTATTCCTTCTGCAACTTCCCATGAATCTATAATTATTTCAAAACAAAAAGTAAAACAAAAAACAAAAAAACCCTTTTTGAACACTGGAATTTAATCTTCGATTTCTTGATTTCTGCTGAAAAGTTCTTTGGGTTTATGTAATATCTGAGGTAGGAAGAGAAAGAAAAAAAGGCCTGGTGCCTATGGGATTCAGTGAGCCTCACCTGGACCCTGGGACAGCTCTCAGCCAGGGAAGTGGCAGGTGGAGTCAAAACCTGCCCTGACAGCCAGGTGTGGTAGCTCACAAGGTCAGGAGTTCGAGACCAGCCTGGCCAACATGGTGAAACCCCGTCTCTACTAAAAATACAAAAATTAGTCGCGTGTGGTGGCAAGTACCTATAATCCCAGCTACTCAGGAGGCTGAGGCAGGGGAATCACTCGAACCCAGGAGGTGGAGGTTGCAGTGAGCCGAGACCACGCCACTGCACTCCAGCCTGGGCAACAGAGCGAGACTCCGAGACTCCATCTCAAACAAACAAACACCCCTGCCCTGACTAGGAGGTGGGGAAGGAATGGAAAGGAGAGTGCAAGGGAAAAAGACTGGGAGAGGGAGAAAGTGGGAGGTGCCTGCCGTCTTGGGGGAAATGGAATGCAACTAAGCCTTGTAAATAAAAATGAAAACACAGTTGCATCACCTTTTCTGTCTGTAGAGAAATCTAACAAGGCAGGACATTTCACTGCAACCACTTAACACTGCTGTCTGCTTCCACTCTGACTTCCCTTCCACTCCACTTTCCCGATCCAGGATCTAGGGTGACTTTACACACCCTCCTCACCAGGGAGAGCAGGCTAAGCCCACTGTCACAGTGCTCCAGAGTGGCACTTGCCTTCTCTTTGTCCTGTCCCTCATGCCAGAGGACCCCTGAGCGCTCCCACAGAGAAACACTAAGAAGGCAACTGGACACCAGCGGACGCTCCAGTCGCACCTCCACCCTTACACCCAAGCTGCTGGCTGGTTTTAAAATAACTGGCACATACCATGACCAGTTCCTGGGATTATGGTCAGGAGGTATGGAGTAGGGCCTAGACTCTATGCTGAACCCAGATTCGGTGGTCTGAGACTAGGTCTCGCTGTACAAGATCACACTTGCCGGGTACTGACCACTCCTAGCTGTTATCTACACCACTCGGCAAGAGCAATTTTATCTGTTTGGTGCCTTCTGTAAACATCTTGAAGGTAACAGCTGTGTCTTAAGCCTCTTCGGCATTCTGCTGTGTTGGGCAGATGGCACAGGTTTAATCAAAGCTTTTCAAATATAATTTTCTGACAAAATGTTTCAAGATCTTTAGACTCATCTTGAAAAATCTACCATGTACCCAGTACATGAGAACAAGAGACCTGGGTCATGACTTTCAGGCACATATTCCTAACAAAATGTCTTCTACCTTGCTCAGTGCTCCCCAGCTTGGCACATACACAAAACGTGACAAAAATGTGAATTTAAAGGCTTTTCATGCACCACAAGAGCCAGGGCATGGCAAGGTGGGACCCTGTCTTCTGAGATCACCTACCCAGCACACAGAGGCTTGCAGGCTGGCAATGTCGGATCACAAGACCGGGTGACAGGGTGGCACATTAAATTTCTTACTGCTCCACGTTAAATTTTCTTTTTTTTTGAGACGGAGTTTCGCTCTTGTTACCCAGGCTGGAGTGCAATGGCACGATCTCACCTCACCGCAACCTCCATCTCCTGGGTTCAGGCAATTCTCCTGCCTCAGCCTCTTGAGTAGCTGGGATTACAGGCACGTGCCACCATACCCAGCTAATTTTTTGTATTTTTAGTGAGACGGGGTTTCACCATGTTGACCAGGATGGTCTCGATCTCTTGACCTTGTGATCCACCCGCCTGGGCCTCCCAAAGTGCTGGGATTACAGGCTTGAGCCACCACGCCCGGCCTCACATTAAATTTTCTAATCAAAATATTCATGATATGCTATGGTGACCTGATGCGGTTGGTTGAATGGTGGCCCCCAAAAGCTATGTCCATGTCCTGACCCCTGGAAACTGTGAATGAGTTTATTTGGAAAAAGGACCCCTGTAGATATAATAAAGACCCTTAAGATGAAGTCATCCTGGGTCACCGGGGGGACAAGTGTCCTTAGAAAAGACAGAAGCGGGGAAGGCCATGTGAAGCCAGGGCAGAGACTGGCAGCCTGCAGCCACAAGCCAAGGACAGCCTGAGGCAAGCAGCGTTCTCCCACAGAGTTCTTCAGGGGAGCTCAGCCCAAAAATGCATTGATTTGATTTTGAACTTCTGCCTTCCAAAATTAAGAAAGAATAAATTTCTGCTTTTTTTTTTTTTTTTTTGAGATGGAGTTTTACTTTTGTTGCCCAGGCTGGACTGCAATGGCACAATCTTGGCTCACCACAACCCCCACCTCTCGGGTTCAAGTGATTTTCCTGCCTCAGCCTCCCGAGTAACTGGGAGTACAGGCATGTGCTACCATGCCCGGCTAATTTTGTATTTTTAGTAGAGACAGGGTTTCTCCATGTTGGTAAGGCTGGTCTTGAACTCCCGACCTCAACTGATCCACCTGCCTCGGCCTCCCAAAGTGCTGAGATTACAGGCATGAATCACCACACCCGGCCAATTTCTGCTGTTTGCAGTCTGCAGTTAGTGGTGCTTTGCTGCTGCAGCCATGGGAAATACCAAACTGTACTTGGTCTTCCCATTTATACAGCAGGTTCTATCTGTGTTTCTCACTACTCACATCTCCACCCATAGTTTCCTTCTAGTAAAAGGATCATCCATAAACATTTAGGAGGTTTAGAACTACATCTTATAGCAAAATGGTACCGTTTCCAGATGCCACGAAACTGGGGTTCCTGATTTGAAAGCTCTGTCTCTTTGCACCTCCCCAATCCGTATGATTAAACTAGTAACCCCATCACATTCTGCATCCTGCCTTTTTTGTTGTTGCTGAAGATGTTCACCATATCAACAGAAGATCCCACCCATGGCATTTCACTGTAAGTTATTAACCGAGGGCTGTGTTCAGGCTTCTGTCTGGCCTGGCTACAGATGGACATCCTGGCTCACGTTTGCGTGCCTGCATGTCTGTCTGTGCGACAGTGTCTCAACAGGTTATCACCACGTGTCATCTGAGGAAGCCCAACCAATCTGCCTCCTCTGTTTTCCTCACTGCTGGCCCATGAAGCAGGAGTGTCTTGTAGATGCTTCTATCGTATCATATGGTGCAGTCTCTTTGACAAAGCCAGTGTTCTTCCAGAGGGAAACAAAGGCCTAGTCATGGCTTAGACTTCCATCAACAACTTGGAACCTTGACTGTTGCACTTCTGACCTTTCTTGAGCACCTCCTCATTTAACCCAATGTAAACAGCTCCAGGTCAATTAGACTCCTTTGATCCTTGAGATGTTCTAAGGAATGGCAGGTACTACAGCAGCCCCTCCCACCCACCCCCACCCCCACCCTCACCACCCACCGCCCCTGCCACCATCAGTCACCTCCCTGCCTTCTTCACAATGCAGCAGAGTGAAAATATAAGTGGCTGTGTTAGAACATGAGTCAAACCGAGTCACTTCCTTGCTCTCACCTCCTTTGGCGTCCTAGCTATTGTAGAGCAAAATCCAAAGCCCTTGACATGACCTACAAAGCCACATGATCTGGACTGTGGCTATCTGCAACCTGAAGTCTCACCAACACGCACTGCACTCCAGCCTGGAGGCCCTGAAGTTCCACAGATGATGAGGAAGGGACGAGGGCCAGGTGACCAGGGGCCCAGTGTCCTGGGGAGTTACGGAGGGTCTGGGTCGGGGGTGGCCATGAGACCTGGAGGGCACTTTCTGCTTTCAGCTGCTCCCATGAAGGCTCAGGCCACTTGCATGCACTGTCCTTCTCCTTCCCGAGGCTCCGATTGTACCAGTCAATTGCTGAGACACGGGCTCCACCCTTCTTTTCCAGCACCAACCTGCTGGCTGTGAGGAGACTTTGGGGTTCAAGCAACTGACTGAGGCAATTGCCAGCTTCAAAGTTCCAGGAGCCTCTTTTTTTTTTTTTTTTTTTTTTGGAGTGCTGTGGCCTGATCTCTGCCCATTGCAACCTCTACCTCCCGGATTCAAGTGATTCTCTTGCCTCACCCTCCTGAGTAGCTGGGATTACAGGCACATGCCACCATGCCCAGATAATTTTTGTATTTTTAGTAGAGATGGGGTTTCATCATGTTGGCCAGGCTGGTCTCGAACTCCTAACCTCAGGTGATCCACCTGTCTCGGCCTCTCAGAGTGCTAGGATTATAGGCGTGAGCCACCGTGTCCGGCCTAGGAGCCTCTTTAGTGACTCTTCTACCCTATGTGCTCAGCAGTCCCACACAGGGTTTCAGTCTGAGTTGGTCCTGGTTTCTGGCAATTGTTCCTCCCTGCCAAACCCTTACTCTCCAGCATCCCACTTGCGCCACCTGGCCGCCCCACCTGCTCTCTGAGATACCTGTGGGCCCTGGCACTGCTATCCTCTCCTGAGGAGTGGCTGCTTTCCTGACTCACACCCTGCCCTATTTAGCTGGTGGGTCATAAGCCAGTGGTTCTGGAGCTGGCTGAGCATGAGCCAACGGGAGCTCTCAGAGGTCAGCTTAAGGCCCCATCCCAGGTGATGACACCACAGGCCTCTTGGATGCTTGGACTGACCACTGGCTCCATCCTGAAAGACCCTCCCTCCCTTCTCTTTCCATGACCTTCTTCAGTTCTCCTTAGGAGCCTGTGACTACTCACTTACTGGCCTTCTTGGGGGCCCCTCCTTTCTCCCACTCCGAATTGCTGGAATGCCCCTCCTTGCTGACATACACTGTGCTTCAGTGGGTAACCTCATGGGCTCTGATGGCTTCAGCCAACGCCTTCAGGCCAATGACTAGCAAGTCTACTGCAGTATTGCCTTCCAATACATAAAGCAGGCAGAAGTGAAAAAGGGGGATGGTAGGCGATGGCTACAGAGGTGAGGCACATCTTTTGATGTTCCAAAGGCCTCTGGCATATGCCTTCTAGCTCTGTCTTTCCCCAATCTCCCTTCTGTACACCTGCCTACTTGTGATAGGTAGCTAGGGCCACAGTGCACTTCAGGGCCACTGAGAGCAGACTGGCTAACATGGACCTTCTCATCAACACAGTATGGTAACAAACCAAACTAAGCCCTCTGTGTCACTGAAAACACAAAACCCATCAACGTCCATCTGGCCTTTCTGTTTCAGGATCCCCATCCTTCGTGTGGCACTTACCCCCAGGTACTCCGTGGTCAGAAGCTTCTCTCCTGAGAGTTCTCCAAGCTGGGGCTGGATCAGTTCGTCTTTGTCCAGATCGGCTTCCATGATGTCATGATCCTCCTGTTTCAGGAGACATGGGGTGAATGCCTGGACACCCTGCCACAAGTTCCCAAGGAGTGGCTCCCCAGAATGTGTAGCTGTCATGAAACAAAAAGGCCTCTGCCAACCACAGCAACTTGCAGGTTTAGATTCCAAGGGGGCTCAGAGGCAGTCTACCTCTGCTCCCAACCTCTCCATGAAGACAAGAGGCACAAGGCCAACCAGCCTCTACAGGAAGCTGGGCACCTAGGAAGCCTCCATCACTCAGGTGTGCGGAGGTTGTAGAGGACTCTTTAAAGTCTTTCCTAATCACAGTTCTCAGAACTTCTCTCCCTGTGAGGTCAAGGCATCATATGAACAGCCAGTCCATCACTTTTTTTTTTTTTTTTTTTTTTTGAGAAGGAGTTTTACTCTTGTCACCCAGGCTGCAGTGCAGTGGCATGATCACAGGTCACTGTGCCGTTGATCTGGGCTCAAGCAAATCTCCCCTCTCAGCCTCCCGAGTAGCTGGAACTATAGGTGTATGCCACCACACCCGGCTGATTTTCATATTTTTTTTGTACAGATGAGGTTTTGTCATGTTACCCAGGCTGCCTGGGTTTTCTTTTTCCTTCATATATGCCACATTTGGAGCCCAAGAGATCAACAACCCAGAAATGTCAATGGTAAAGACAAAAAAAAGTCCCCCAAAGCCTGTTTTTTAGCCAAAGGACCAGGACGGGGGAAGGATTGGCATGACAGGAAAATTGTAGGAAATAAACACCAGAGAGAGCACTGTAGCTCCACTCCCAGCTGCGCCAACAAGGGCCTCAGAAGTCCCAGCTATACCCTCACCAGGCTGGGCTGTGCACCCCAACACCCCTGCAAGTGATACCAGAGAAGGCCAAGTAGGCAGCAGTTTCATCCTTGCCGGGCAGTAAGGAGGCTGCCACCCCACAATGTAAGTGGAGACCAGGTGAGCTTGGACTTGTACCCACACTTGGCAGTGAACAGATGCCCCTCACACCCTTCTTGAGGTGATGTCAGAATGAGTCATGCAGGGTGCAATGAATGACATGGCACTCTTGTTCCTTCCAGGCAGGGAGGCATTAGTGGACGCTTAGTGGGGGATCCAGGAACCCCCATCATCTGGTGTCAACCATGCCAAGCGCGGAACCTGGAATTCTACTCCTACCTGGGGGTAATTATGATTTCCTGCAAGGAGTCCCAACAAGGCAAAAAAAAAAAAAAAGGAAATAAAAGCCACATAGCTCATAAAAGGAAGAAAAATGATCCCATTTGCATATGACTGTGTGTAGAAATAAGGGATCTACAAAAAACCACATACACACAGAAAAATCCTTCTAGAAGTAAAGAATTCAAAAAGTTCACAGGATAGAAGAAAAACACATAAAATCAATTCATTTATACCAGCAAGGAACATACAAACATTGCAATTAAAAACACAATACCATTTACAATTGCTCGAAACAAGAAATGGGCATAAATCTAACAAAACATGTATATTTGTATGCTGAAAACTACAAAACTCTCATGAAAGAAATTGGCCGGGCGCGGTGGCTCAAGCCTGTAATCCCAGCACTTAGGGAGGCCTAGGCGGGTGGATCACGAGGTCGAGAGATCGAGACCATCCTGGTCAACATGGTGAAACCCCGTCTCTATTAAAAACACAAAAAATTAGCTGGGCATGGTGGCTCGTGCCTGTAATCCCAGCTACTCAGGAGGCTGAGGCAGGAGAATTGCCTGAACCCAGGAGGCGGAGGTTGCAGTGAGCCGAGATCGTGCCATTGCACTCCAGCCTGGGTAACGAGCGAAACTCCATCTCAAAAAAAAAAAAAAAAGAAATCTGTTGCGTGTGGTGGCTCACGCCTGTAATCCCAGCACTTTGGGAGGCTGAGGTGGGGCAGATCACCTGAGTCAGGAGTTCAAGATCAGGGTAAGGGGTGGCATGGCCTGGGCAACATGGCAAAACTCCATCTCTACCAAAAATACAGTTTTGCTCTTTCTGCCCAGGCTTGAAAGAGACCCTGTCTCAAAATAAATAAATAAATAAATAAATAAAGGCAAAAATAAAAAACAGTGGCAATAGCAATTGCTGGCGAGAATGCAGAGAAACTCAATCACTCATATATTGCTGGTGGAAATGTAAAATAACACAGGCCCTTTGAAAAACATGTTGGCAATTTCCTAAAGGACTGAACATGCAACAGTATAGAAGCAGCCATTACACTCCTGGGCATTTAGCCCAGAGAAATAAAAATACATGTCCAACATGGTGAAAACCCATCTATACTAAAAATACAAAATTAGCCAGTTGTGGTGGTAGGCGCCTGTAGTCCCAGCTACTTAGGAGGCTGAGGCAGGAGGATCACTTGAACCTGGGAGGCAGAGGTTGAAGTAGGCCAAGATCACGCCACTGTACTCTAGCCTGGGCAAAAAGAGCAAAACTCTGTCTCAGAAGAAAAGGAAAAAGAAAAGATTCAGATAAATATAGAAGCACACCTTGTTCATAAATCAGAAGACTCAACACAGTTCTCCCCATATTGACATACAGGTGTAATGAAATTTCTATCAAAATCCCAGCAAGATTTTTTTTGTAGTCATAGGTAAGATTATTCTAAAATCTATATGGAAAGGGCAAAGAAAATTGAACACACTAAGACAACTTTGAAAAAGAAGAACGATATGGGAAGAATCCATCTACATGATTTCAGGCTACAGTAATCCAGATTATATACTAATGGCAGAGAGGCAGACACATAGATCACTGGAGTGGAACAGAAAACTCCAAAAGGGACCTATACTAAAATGTTTTGTGGATTTTAGACAAAGGTACAAAAGAAATTCAATGAGAAAAGATAGCTCTTTCAATGAACGGTGCTGGAGAAACTGAACATTCATAGGAAAAACTGAACCTCAATCTAATTCTCACATCTCATATAAAAATCAACTCGAAATGGATCATGGACTTAAATGTAAAACTAACACATTTTTAGAACAACCCATACAAGGAGAAAATTGATAAACTGAATTTCACCAAAAAATTTAAAAACTTGCTCAGTGCAAAGACCCTATTAAGAAGATGAAAAGGAAAGCTACAAACAGGTAGAGTATTTGGAAACCACATATCCAACAGAAGAGTAGTATCTAAAATTTTTAAAGAACTCTCAAAACTCAACATTCAAAATACTCAAACAATCTAATTAGAAAATGGGCAAAAGACATGAAGAGACATTTCACCAAAGAGGATATACAGATGCAATAAGCACATGAAAAGAAGTTAAAGAGTTAAATATCATTAGCCATTAGGGAAATGCAAATTAAAACCACAATGACATATCACTACATGCCTATCACAATGGCAAAAATAGGCCAGGTGCAGTGGCTCATGTCTGCAATCCCAGCACTTTGGGAGGCCGAGGCGAGTGAATCACTTGAGCTCAGGAGTTTGAGACCAGCCTGGGCAACATGTTGAAACCCCGTCTCTATTAAAAACACAAAACTTAGTCAGGCATGGTGGCACACACCTGTAATCCCAGCTACTTTGGAGGCTGAGGCATGAGATCCCAGCCCAGGAGGCAGAGGTTGCAGTGAGCTGAGAATGCACCACCGCATTCCAGCTTGGGTGACAGAGTGAGACCTTTTCTCAAAAAAAAAAAAAAAAAAAAAAAACAGGGAAAAATAAAAAACCGTGGCAACACCAATTGCTGGTGAGAATGCAGAGAAACTCAATCACTTGTACATTGCTGGTGGAAATGTAAAATAATACAGGCCCTCTGAAAAACATTTTGGCAATTTCCTAAAGAGCTGAACATGCAACAATATAGAAGCAGCCATTACACTCCTGGGAATTTATCCCAGAGAAATAGCAACTTGTTGGCATTCAAAAATCTGTATATGAATGTTTCATGGCAGTTTCGTTCATAGTAGCCCCAAACTGGAAACAATAGATATCCTTCAACAAGAGAACAGGTAAACAAATTGTGGTAATACACATCTCAGACTACTACTCAGAAAGAAAAGGAACTACAGGTGTACATAACCTGGATGAATCTCCAGAGAGTGATGCTGGTGAAAAACGCCAATCCTCAATGAATGCATACTATATCATTCCACTTATATAACATTCTGGAAATGACAAAATGATAGAAATGGAGAACAAATTAGTGGTTGCCAGGGGTTAAAAGGAAATGGTGATGGCTGTAAAAGGAATCCCTCTATGAGGGATCCTTGAGTGATGGAAACGTTCTGATCTTGAATTAAAAACAGAAGAGGTAACAATACAATTAGCCTACACGAGACATCACAAGGCTATGTATAATGGAATGCCAAGCGAGCGGCATGCACATTTACACAAAGGTAAATAAAGGGGAGGATGCCCTGCTCCTTCCTAGTACCTGCCAAAGCTTCCTGCTGACCTTTAACTGTCCTTTACAGGTTAAATTATAAAGAGGAATACAAATATTAACTCAGAAAGAAGGAAGCTGCTGGCTATGGCGGGAAAAAGGGAAAGGAGGGGCCCTGGAGGAAGGTGGCAGCCAAGTGCTGGTGTGGTCTGGGGTGCAGGGGGAGGGCAGGCCATCATCTCCTGGTGACAATGTTCCCTAACATCTTCTAGCCAGTCCTTCCCTTGACTCCTGGCTCACCCAACAATCTAATGACTATAATTGGCTCCTCGAAACTTGCCAACAGGAAGGGAAAGCTCTATTCTGCAAACATGAGTACCCTATCTTCATTTCCAACTAATTTCTAGTCATTCAGGATGTTCTGGTCTTTGGTGAGTTTGATTTGCCGGAGTCGGTTTCCAAGGGCTACGAAGGTTCAACCTCCTGGGCCTAGGGTGTGGGGGTGTGACTGGGAACTGCCCTGAAATGTGACGCTGCCTGACCTAGGGTGGCCCCTGGGTAGGGCTGTGCTGGGGGACTCTGCCCATCTCTACAGTGTCTCTTTAGCACACAGTCAGTGCCACCTGCCATCACTAGATGGTGTCACCTTGGGTTGGGCTGTCCTAAAAAAAGGGG